TATATATATATATATATATATATGAAATACTTGATTACGGTGGATGTCCATATCTCCTAAGGGAGTAACACCCACTACTCTTCTCCATTAACCTCCCACAACTTCTTACCATTATAGATGTAACTCCCATACCTCCATGATCTTCCCTTATGTTCTCAATAGTTAATACCATGTTCATGGCACCCCTTTGTATTACCTATATCATCCTATAAATAGAGGGTTTGAGCATCACATTGTACACACTTGGAATACATAGAAGAAATAAGAAAGTTCCTTCTTCCTCTCTACATCTTTTGTCTATTTGTATTATTACTTTGAACTTCGTTTATTAACACGTTATCAACATGATTTTTCTCTGCGGCAATCCTTCTGAACTTTTTGGAAATGTGTCGCAACAAAGTTCATTTGTTTTTGTATTACCATAGCCAAGTAACATTGTAGTTTCCAATGCGTAAGCCTGTTAAATTTCGTATGGACAGTGAGACAAATATTCTATGGATTATCTTATTTTGGTAAGTGGTTCACCATTCCAAGGTATGCTCCTAAGTATATAATTTTTGTGCTCACTTAAATACCAATTGGAAGGGTTAATATATGGCAATGTAAGTGTCTTCTGGTCATAGTCGTCAAATTTTTGTTGTAGTTCTATAACTACTACTAGTATACGTATCATACTTGAGCAACATTTTCCATATAGCTACAACTCAAGTTACATAAGATATATCTATCTATATGGTTTATTATTACTTATAATGTTAAATTATTTTATGAAATAATAAAACGTCTGTGCTTTATCATCTATCTTGAAGGATTTATCATGTATTATCTCTTTAAGTTGAATGTCTTACATTAGAAAATATCCTTGAACTATAACAGAGTTACACGATATATATAGTTGCCAAAGTAATGTAATATTATTAAATGTTTGAAGGCAAGTCTCATTACATGCACTTTGGCTTATTATGTCATTAATTGAGGGTAAATCGATGGAATCAAGTCCTAACGTAGCACAAGGGTAAGACACCGGGTTCGAATCCAATGCACCATGATTATAAGAGTTGGGTTTGAGTCCCAACACATTATGGCCTAGCATGCCTTTATATGGGTAAGGCATTGGGTTTGAGTCTCAATGCACCATATTGATGATATAATGATGACTAAAGAAAATAATGTATTTTTCATGAAAAAACATGAAGCTTGTCTCTCTTGATTTGCTCCATTCTTGAAATGAATGTGATAGCGGCGCATAATACGTCTAAATAATGATAAGTGGTTGACCAATGAATGTGAGCATGCCAAAGATCAAATAATAACAGTCATCACTATGGTAATTGTAAAAAGGAGAACAATGAGGGTTCTCAAAATGATCCTTCAAAGGTGAAGGAATATGTATCAATTTGGTCTGTTAATACGAGACACGTTCACATGATTATAGTTTATTCGTTGAAAATATGACTTGTGATAAGCATTGTAAATGCAGGCTCATTCCTGAAAGTAAATGTTGAAATATATATGTTATATAAATTATGCAAAAGGATGTGCTTATGCATAGTTGAATAAATACTACAACTCAACTTTACTGGGAGGTTTGAGAGAAAGAAAGATAATGAATATTACTGTGTGGTTACATGAATATGTCATTGGTCACATACATGTTGTACGCCAAAAATATTTTGCCATGCTTATAAAAAGTTATTAAAGGCAAAAGTAAAGCAAGAAATTATTTTGCTTATGATGATTTTGACCATGACAATTATTATGATATGATTTTCTCCGTGAAAAAGACATTCACCATATGGATGGTGTGACAAAATATCTTGTAGTACAAAATTAATTAAGAGTTTCGGAAGAACTAATTTGTTACTATCCGGATGAACGAAATTGTTCTTGACATTGATATCGTAGTAAGTCTCAAAATAAACTTTTTGAGTTACAAATATATTAGCCAAAGTGGTTGGCATATTGAGACTATAAATGAAAGGAAAATTGAATATCTTCATATTACTATAATCATACCGGTTAAATATGAAAGGTTACCCGACTTTTCTTCTATTTGTACTACAGATGTATAAGCATGATGATGGAATCATATGCCATAGTAAATTAAATATTTACTAAAACAAATATTAGTTGGCATGACCGGTTGGCTATCCCGGTTCAATTATAATGCAAAAAATGATTGAGAATTCACAATGTCATATATTGAAGAATTAGGAGATTCTTCGAGAATTCTCCTATACCGACTTGTTCTCATGATAAACTGATTACTATACCAACTGGGGTTGGGATTGTATTCCCTGATTTTTGGAACGTCTAAAAGGTGATATATATGGTCTCAGTCACCTACCATGTGGACCGTTTACTATTATATGATTTTAATAGATGCATCTATTGTATGGTCACATGTGCGTTTGTTATCAACTTGCAGTTTGGATTTTGCAAGATTGATTGCTCAAATTATTAGCGCAGAGTCCGGAATATAAATTTATCTTGATAATGCTGGTTTAAATCCAAGTTGGTTTAGCTGAGATTGTATGCCTCCAATTATATCTAAACCATTGGTTATGAGAATAAAATTACCAAAAAGAAATTTGGTATGAGATGTATTATTTAATATAGTGCAGCACTTATACGCATCTAGCCAAGTTATGATAAATTCTCCCTGTCACAATTGGTTCAGGGTCAGAAACCAAATTGTAACAACCCGACTGGTCGTTTTGCCTTTCTAAACCTCATTCCCTTAAATAAGACTTCCTACGCTTGCTTTAGTTAATTTACGACTTGTGGGGACAGTTGGTTCGGGATTTGAAAAAGTTTGGAGTGAAAATATGTCCATTTGGTTCCTTAGGGTTTTGTTAAAAAGGCTAAGTTGACTTGGGTCAACATTTTGAGCAAACGTTGTAATTTGACGGTCCCAAAAGGTCCGTAGAAAAATATGGGACCTGGGCATATGTCCGGAATCGAATTCTGAGATCCCTAGCCCGAGTAATGAATTTTTATTAGAAATTGTTAATCTGAAGTTTTAAGGATTT